CCTCAACCCACCTCGGAGCCAGGCCCGACGCAGGCCCCGCTGGATGACACCCGCTTCCTGATCTCCAGCACCAACTGGTACTAACGCCGCAGCCCAGTTTCCCCACCGGACCCGAGCCGAAGAGCTGCATCCACCCGCCCTCCCCCGGAGAGAGAGAGAAGCCTAGGGCTCCCTGAGCCAGGGAGGTTTGTTAATAAAGGAGACTGAGCAGCAGCGACCCACGAAGCAAGGGTTTTATTTTCCCGCCTCAGAGCTGAGGAGCGGGGCTGGACACCTCGAAGAGGTGGTTGAGCCGCTCGGCCTCTCGCCAGCCTGACAGCAGGGCCCCATGGGTGGTGGAGTAGAAGGTGCGATGGGTGGCCTCGCCGGCAAAGAGGAGCTGCAGAGGCTGCTACCTGCTGCCTCCCCCAGCCCAGTGGGGACACCAGGTTGTACTAAACCAGCGTCACCTCCCTGCCCTTTGGCACCCCGCGGATGCATGACCAAGGAATGGGCACCATCCCGTCCTTAGAGACCCACCCCATGCTGTGAGTATGCTGGGAAGTGGTTGAAAGGAGCTACCTGTCTCCAAATTTTATGGAAATAGGGTCCTGCCCTGCTGCCTCCCCCAGCCCAGTGGGGACACCAGGTTGTACTAAACCAGCGTCACCTCCCTGCCCTTTGGCACCCCGCGGATGCATGACCAAGGAATGGGCACCATCCCGTCCTTAGAGACCCACCCCATGCTGTGAGTATGCTGGGAAGTGGTTGAAAGGAGCTACCTGTCTCCAAATTTTATGGAAATAGGGTCCTGCCCCACCCCCATGGAGCTCAGCGGGAAAAGCCAAGGGAGGGTTGGTTGGTGACCCCTGAATGGAGCAGGAGTGGGGAAGATCACCTCCCTATGCTCCTCAAGGCCTGGTGTGTCCTGTCCATCTGTCCCCACACCTGGGGGTCCTGCTCCCCCCATGGCCACTGCATCCCCTGGGCCAAAAACAATTACCCTGGGGTCCTCGGGGTCCTCGGGCAGGGGCTGAGCCAGCACATCAATGTCATCCCCTGAGCTGCCAACGGCTACGTAGGTGTAGGAGCCCCGGGTGTAGGGAGCGCTGTGCCACCGGGACCTGAGCATGCTCCTGGGAGCGGGCAGGCAGGGATTCCCTGCAGGCATGGATTTTGGGTGGGATCCAGAAACCTGGGTGCGTGTTTCCCCAGGGTGGGGTTGGGGTGGCAAGGGTGGAGGAGGCAGCAGTACCTGTCAGCGTGCGGAGGACGTGTGTCATGGTGCCGAGAACCTCTGTGTCGCTCAGCGTCTCCATGTACTCCGACTCCTTCCCTGCAATGAAGCCACAGAGGACGTGCCCGTGCCTGGGGGAGGAAAGATGGCTGCTCACTGGGCACCATGCCCTGGAAGTGCTGCTACATCACATGCTGCCAGTGACCTGGAGAAGGTTTTGAAGCTCCAGACAGGACCAAGATGCTCCTTCACATTGCCCGGAAGATGCCCAGACCCCCCGGCCACAACGCCCCTTTGCTGATGCTCCCAGCCACGTACTGCTCCGGTGGTTGGAGGACCACAAATCCAATGAGCTTCTTGAACCAGTTGGCCTCCAGGTCAGTGCTGGGCTCCTCAAGGGGTGACTCATTTTCCCAAACCACTTCAAGGAGCTGCTGCTGGGGTTCCCAGAAAGGCTGCTCGAACTCCAGGAAGATCTTGTTGTTGGTGCCGAAACCCAGGCGGTGAATGGCCTCCACTTTCTGGTCAGGCAGGGGAGGCTGGAAGAAGTCCTGGTGGTGTTCCTTGAGGAAACCTGCAGGCAGAAGATGGGGCAGAAGATCAGGCAGCTCTGTTTGCCAGGCTCCTAAATGGGGTCTGAGATACTTTGGGAGAGGAGGCTGGTAAGGGGCTTGGGCAAGTCCCTGCCCTCCATCTGTCCCTCTCCAACCATGCCAGCTGGTTGGAGGGGACAGGCAGGGCAAGGAAAGAGGTTGGTATCCTCACCCAGCGGGACGGTGACAATGACGTGGTCGGCAAGGAAGGCATCTCCATCCTCGCACTCCACCCGGACGGGGAAATCCCTGGCCTCGTCCCCATCCTCATGGAATGACCCTCTCCACCGGATGGTCCTCACTGCCTTGTTGAGCAGGACCGTGCCCTCCGGCAGAGCCAAGAGCATGCAATCGGGCAAGCTGCTGTAGCCCCCAGCGGGACGGTGACAATGACGTGGTCGGCAAGGAAGGCATCTCCATCCTCGCACTCCACCCGGACGGGGAAATCCCTGGCCTCGTCCCCATCCTCATGGAATGACCCTCTCCACCGGATGGTCCTCACTGCCTTGTTGAGCAGGACCGTGCCCTCCGGCAGAGCCAAGAGCATGCAATCGGGCAAGCTGCTGTAGCCACTGCGTGAGGAGGTACTGCTAGGGAAGGGGTGTCCCCTGAAATGCTCTTCCGTGTCCCCCTCCAGAGCCCTGCACTTACCCTGGGAAGGTGCAGTCCAGGCCAGGCAGGGAGATGTACTCCCCAAATGGCTCCAGGGCCACCAGGTCCATGCTGTGGGTCCCGCTGATGCAACACTCCAGCT